ACTGTTGGAGGAGCTAGCTGCACATGTACTTAATATTGGATTGAAATATGGATGACAATCTGTAATTAAAGTAGAAATAACACCTTTTAATTAATTCGCTTAAACAATAGAAAAACCTTCCTAAAAGTAAAAGACTACTCACCAAGCAGAATCTACTTCTAGTGCAAGTATACACATCGGTTGATGGCTACAACTAGTTAAAAAAAAGACCAGTCTTATTTTATATAGATCCCTACTTGGCGTGAATGCGTTTACACAAACCAGTTTTGTAACTTTCTATAAACAAGCCGGTTGTCTATAAGCGGGTATTTACCTTTGAAGCATTGTGGAAAGTGTTCAATTCTCAGAAGCTGTTTATTCCGGGGTTTTCATATATCATATAGCCTTTAGCTAACTCGGCTAGAGTAGGATGGGGATAAGGATTGTTAATTCAGCATGTCCAAAAATTCGCCAAACACGATTTTGTCACTGTCATTTTTTAGGCTTTCTTTCGGACCAGAAGGCCATTTAGAAATAACTTATTAAAACAATGGGTAGATTTCCATTTAATTTTTACTGCATTTCTTCTAAGCAGTTTGTTTGTTTTTTAATTATGCACAAAGCTACACAAGGTTACCTGTGCTCTGCCCACCACGGGTATCGAAATCCGGTTTCTAGCGTTGTAAGTCCGCAGACATACATTTAAAATAAATGTTTATTGCGAAATAATAATGGTTTACTCCCAGTCTTGACATTTAACGTAAGCAAAAGAAAAATTATATAATCACATTAATCTTTAAATTTTAATTAATCATATTTAAAAATACATTAAAGGTAAACAATTCTATTTAAATTAAGTAATTTTAAAAGTTGCCATGTTTGAATTAATAATATGTCTCTCTACAGTCTCTTAAAATGTTAGTTTGTTTGTGGAATTTCGCGCAAAGCTACACGTGGACTATCTGCGCTATCTGTCCCCAATTTTAAAGTAATAGGCTAGAGAAGTGTTTTTCAGCCGGATATGCCAGACAACCCCACGTTCGGGCTTTGGTCATCGCGACCCCCCCCCCCCTTAACTCATTATCTCTACTAAGATGAAAAAACAGTTTGTCATAGTTCATAATAAAGGTCATACGTGTACCACTCAGACACCTCGAGGACTAAACAAATAAATATATTGACTCAGCGCAGACAGCTCGTGCCCCCTGGAAACCTGCTCGCGAACCCCTTGGAGGTCGCAACCCACCGTTTGAGAAATATTACGCTAGAGGAAATGTAACATGCCGACACCACCATTCCGACAACTCTCGGGTTACTCTTATCAGTCCGGATAATGGATATGATCATCACTCATAACACACTAACGGCCTCAAACTAAATAAATAAATAAATAATCGTAATAAAAAATAAAATAAATGATATTATATTCATGGGCGCCCGCAGAAAGGGGCAAGGGGTCACTTGACCCCCCCCCTGGATTTTTAGAAAGGAAAAAAATACTAGATATGTAAAATTACTCTTCTATGTTATTGGAAATTTGTATTTCGATTTAATAATTTTTTCAAACTTAAGTTGCTTGACCCCCCCTAATTTTTTTTTCTGCGAGCGCCCTTGATTATATTATTAACTCTTACCCTAATTCTGATTTCAAAAAAAACTTAAATAGGATTGATTATAAATAAAATTCGCTTATTAACCTAGTTCACATCATAACAGTTGTTGTTTATTAAACTTATGCTATAAATACCGCCTCAACGCTGTCATGTCTGTCGTATCTCAGCCTGCCTGAGGAACTTTGGTATTGAGTGAAAGTCCTCGTCGGCACTGGATATGGTAGATGTAGTGTATTTAATATATTACTGCATATTATTCTTTGCTTTCTCTCATAAGCTCTTATATTTACCGCATTCGTAACTCCCCTTTTTTAAACATTCCAGGCCCCTGGTGGGTCAGCAGTAAGTTTACGGACTTGCAACGTAAAAATCCGGGGTTTGATTCCCCCGCGGTCGATATAAAAGCTCAATATGACTGGGCTCTAAAACAAACACCCTGATGTTCCAGTTCTTTGAAAATGATGACAGAAAGCTGCTCGATGTGCAAAATTGAAGTACGAAACATAAGTAATTAAAGAAAATTTAGAAAGCTCTAAACATGATTTTATGAGGTTTCAGCTAAACATTTTCCTTTAGCTAATTTTGTGAAAAATATAATCTTTCGTTTTAAGTTAACCAAAAACCAAATATACATACATACACACCTCTATTATGACATTAAAAATTCATAAGTCGGAGTGCATATTTGTTTTTCAGAATTTTTACGCAAAGCTAGACAAACGTTATTTGACCATAGTTGTCACCACTTTTTGACTGACATACTAGAGGGAATATAATTCTATTCGTCAGTTTTATTTCTCTCTTTTTTTAGGTATTTCAAGAATTATCTATAGTTATATCGGTTGTCTGAAAAACCGCACACGTCACAATAGAATGCCACCTACTTGTGATTTTTGGCTCTATAATTCTTATATAGTGCTTGTTTTAATCATTCATACACGAAAAGGATGTAGCATTGTAAATTTTAAGTGACATTTTAAAGTTAAACTTTGAGTGAGCATGTTTCTTATGTAAAGCTCTAAAAACATTAATTAAAATCCAGATCATTGATTTCAGTATTAGTGTATGCTTTAATACTCGTTGCTTCACTCACAGGTGGAAGAATTGAGGATTGAATTGTCTCAATACGAGTAAATTTATCAGGCCCCCAAGTGGCTCAGCATTAGGTCTACAGGCTTACGACGCTAAAATTTGAAATTCAATACCCAAAGTGAGAATAGTACAGATATCCCATCGTGTAGCTTTATGCTTAATAACAATCAGACCAAAAATTCAGCATCATCTGGTGTTAATGTGAAAATAGACACTGAAGTTCAACGTAGCATGATTTAATTTTTTTCTGTATTTACATCTTTTTAGGAATTTGCTAAGTTTCAGAGAATACAGACGTTTATATATATATATAAAAAAAAACAGTGTGTTTCTCTTTTGACTTATGAGAGTAGGTGGGACTCACAGGTCCATAATGGGAAAATAACGTCTTCTTCCTTCTATTTTTTCCTTTAATTTGCAGAAAAACAAATCAATAAAAAGAGAGAGAGAAAATAAATTAAAATTCTAGTAAAAATAAAATTTCTATATTTCATATTTTCCTCTATATAGCTTCATATTACTTACAGCTTTTATTTCTTTCAATAAACTAGTTTCAAAAAAAGATTACATACACCTTACACTAAAGACAATACAACTGTTATAGATTTTCTCACAAAATATGCCCCAAACTTTGTCCTCAGGTGAAACAACGGTAAATTTACATACTTACAACACTAAGATCCGTAGTTCGATTCCCCGCGGTGGACACAGCAGCTAGCCTCATGTGGCTTTGGTCTAAAACAAACAGGCCCACACATTAATTTATGGATGCGTTATAGAAGTGATAGTCAATTCCTTAGTGTGGATTGTGAGTGGTACTGTAATGCTACTGGCTGACTTCTCTCTAGTCAGTAGACAATAAATCTAAAATTATTTTTAATAAAGGTAGCGCCAATGTATTTATCAAACATGAATGCTATATAAAACCAAAAAATTGTGTCTTATAAAAATATATTCAGTGAACTACATTCGCTAAACTGATTATGGCAATATTTCTTAAAAGGATACTGTTTTGCGATATCAGATATTAAAAATTAAACAGCTAATATTTTTCTTTTGGGAGGGGAGAACTGTGTTATTTTTAATCTGACCACTTTGAAACCAAGTAATTCGTCAAAAATAAAATTATTATTATTTCTCCAATAAATTCAGGATAGAATGATAACGCTTAACTCTGTTGAAGGTTGGACTTGTCCATTTTAATAATATTAAAAGCATGTTACTTGTTGATTTAAGAAATGGCATGATACATATGCGGTATACCATTTCCAATTGATATAGATAATTTCAAAAAAATAAAATTTGTTAAATCCAATAGGCCTCGAAATTAGGATAAAAATCACCTAATCTGCAGATGCTTTTTTTTCCACATTCCATTTAATTTATCTTCTTCATATTTCAAATAATACGCATAAAAATTAGAATTTCAAATCTATCTTTTATCTACCATAAGTCGCTGTCCAAGACGCCTTTCAATCAAAATTAGAAAATCGTCATTTCGGCTAAATGATGAGAGACAAATATTTTTTTTTTCCTTTTTTCATTTCAGCCTTAGGGGCTAATAGACCATCAGAAGGTTGCATCTTCTCTAAGACCAAAAGATTTACGAAAACTGGATCATTGAAGATATAAATTATGTGTAAGAAGATCTTAAGAAATTTATATATATATATATATGGCTTTAAACGATGTGAAAGTTTATTTGGTTCAAGGGCATGTCATTGGTGAAACGTGCACGGTGAAAGAAGTAGTCCAATACCAATAATGGAATTAAATGGTCAGGTCATCGATGCAACACCCACCTGGATATATGTACCTGAGTGGATTCGTTAGAGGAGAGTCATTATGATGAAGGTCATCAAGTGGAAGAGGCACCAAATAAGTTTTAAAAAATTATTCACCTTACTAAAGTGTGAAATTTCAGTGATAAAAAGAAATAATTCACGAGTTACGTGAAGGTCTAATCTTTTCTACAATCAAATTGTGCAAATTATTAAATACTATTATGAAAATAGCTAAATATATTTACTAATGAATTTCTTTTTCTCACCAAAATGTGACCACATATGCGATGAAGATACAAAAATTAAGGAACATGTTATAAAATCGTGCTGCGAAGTTATATATATGAATATACATTTATTTGTTGCCAATGGTGGTCGTAATATTGCATGAAAATTTAAGGAACGTAGATCATCATAACTGTGAATTACACTAGAATGTTGTTATTTTGCATGATCCTTTCGTTTATATGTATTTTAGTTTATCTAGTGGGAAATTACTTTCCTGGGCGATTAGATGAAAACAATTTATAGTGAATAGATGGTGCTACGGTAGGTTACGAGGCTGCTTAGATGATCTTTCCGAGTAACTAACCTGTCGGAGGTAGTAAAACTAATATTACGACAACATGTACACAAAGATATACATAGCATACGTACATAGAACTGAAAAGGCAAAAGATTAAGAGAAGATTTTGTTGCTTGTGTATCAGAATATTGTAGTATGACTGATGAAATTAGAGACAGTTTCCATTAACATAGTGGTATAATAAAATAATTGAGTGAATAAATATTAATAATAATATGGAGTCATTTCTACGATATTGTAAGAATTACTTGGTAAGTTTGCTTCGATTTTTCATTCGCTGTTTAGACTAATGCGATGTAGTTGCAGTGTTTGATTTAAAATTATGAGAAACTTTCAAACAAAGCAAATCATAAACTGATAAAGTCTAAAGAGTAAACTTTAGTAATACTAATACTAGTTATATATGTATATGCTATATTATAATTTATAGGTAAGGTAAACTTCAACTCAAGTTCAAGTAGACATTTAAAATTCAACTTTTTTTAAAGGAATACTGATGTAACAGTTATGCACATTATTTTTTAACTTAGCCATAAATAAAACGACGAATATGTTACTAAAAGTAAAACTAAATACTTCAGTGTAGCCTACTGATAATGTAATTTGTTTATAGACTATAGTATTACTGTTCTCTAGCGTGCTACTGAGTACTACTTGTCTACATATTAATTATTATATAAATTATAACGAGGCTTAAGCCTTATGTAATATGTGTCGTATTTCAAAGAACGCATCTTGTTCAATGTTTTGTGAGACAGAAAGCCTACAACGTATAAGTACTCAAGTAGTACAGCTCTAGGCTATTTTGAACTTGGCTCACTACACACTCAGTACCTTCACATGATATAGGTATTAGGTAAACACATTAATCTTAAGTTAATATGGTTATTCTAATGTTTAAATTATTGGTAATGTTGTGAATATCACACTTCAATGAAATTATAACTTATTAGAAAATTCACCTTTCCAATTCATTTTTAGTTTTTCCTTAATGGACAAACTATTTCCAGAAATCATGTTTGTCTAAAACTCATGTGTGATCAATTTTCGTGATTAACACTAACAATTAGTTTTCATTTTTAAAATTGTGGTATTATATGTAACTATTGTGAAAAGTATTGTAACAAAATTACATGTGTAAGTAAAAAATAAAAAGTTAATCTAAAATTATAATGTTTTTACTTACTTATTTAATAGAAGAACATTTTCTGAAGCAGTTGGAAATGTGCAAGAATAATACTAAAAAGAAAATTTATTTTGTGATGGATAAAAACAAAATAAAAATATCACTTATTAAAAAAAATTATAATACCATTTCATTAAAATTAATAGCCTATAACACAAATGCTGATTTAATAGGATGAGCTAGGTGTGTGTAACTTAATTTGTGATTCTTAGCAAGTAGGGTCAATGGACCTTTGAATTAGTGCATTTCTATTTAATGTAAATTTCTGGTCTTGTTTGTTATACATAAGTTATTATGGTATTTCAGTTAGGTTCATCTAGTGTAGTCTGGGGTGACATTGATTTCTGCTGAATCATCAGTATTATTAGGTCTTCTTAAAATTTATGAAAATATATTTTTGTTAGTATTTTTCACCTTGAACTGAGTGAAAACTGAAAAGAGATAAACTGGGAATCAGTATATGGGAAATACCATTTTCAAGCTGTTGCACAGCTATTTAAAACTGGTTTTAATCTGATCAACTCATATATATAAGATGACAACAGTGTGATCCCCCCCCCCCTCCGCTAAGCTAATTGGGTGGAAATAAGAAGATAATTAATTAAAATATAACAACCAAAAGGTGACAAAAAAGATAAATGTTGATGGAATGATGTGTTTAGAAATTTTGCTGAATAATCAAAACTGTGTATGTATATGAACACACACAAAGAAAAAGACAAGTTGTGTAGGTTTGTTCATAACAATATAGGAAAAGCCTAGGTAATAAAAGGCCATTCAACCCATCAAAGTCACTCAATAAAGAAACCAGCCTAATGTGAAGATAACCTTTCACACATATAAAATTATCAAACAAAAACTTAATGAAGTTAAAACTACTTGCACATGCTTGGTAAATCATTACACAAGTTAGCAACTTTAAAGGGAAAACCATTTTGGTTAACAATGTAAGCTATATGGACTTCCTCAACTTATCCTTAATTCCTATAATTAGGATTTCATCTTCCACCTTATCTTTCTACAACTCCAACAAACTTCTTATGATGTTAAATAACTGAATCTAGTGACTTTTAATTCTTCTTCACTTCAAAGAAAACAAGTTAAAATCTTTGAGTCTCTCATCATAGCTAAAATTTTTGAAACCAACAAACTCTTTCAATAGCTTTTCCTTATGTTTTTCAAGGAAGTCTGTATATTTTCTCTAACTTTCATATAATAAAAGGACCAGCAATGAACACAATACTTCAGATGAGGTCTAACCAGAGTTGTGTACAATGTGATAAGCTCCATATTCCTCAATTCAAAATTTTTCTAAATAGGTTCCAGAATCATATTTGTGATTTTTACTACTTCCAAAAATTTTGCTTAAGGCTTTTATCAGTTATCAAACATAAATCTTTCTCTCTCCACGGCACAAATAATATTTCTCCCACATAAATAAGTTCTTTCCAGATTTCCATTCTCTAAAATCATCATTTCAAACATATTAACCTTTAAGCAACTACACACTGGCTCAGCTCAATGATAATAAATTGTGATTGACTGTTAAGAGAGCCATTACTTGTGTTTCTCATTTACAAATGTCTAACTTTGAGCAGAGTAGCTGAATGTTATTTTACATTTTGTCAGATCACAGTAGTTTATGGCTTGTGTATTGATTTTTGAGAAGTAGTGAATGGACGACATTAATATGTAAGCATTAGACTCTTTTAGAAACTCATTGCTTACTCATTTGTTATTAATAGCCTCTAAATATCAACTACACGTACTACAGATTCAGCAATATTTCTTCTAAGGGTAACAAGCTAACCCTTAGAATGTTACACATGTATAATAAAGTGTGTGTGAATCTAAAAGAACATCATTCAGCCTGTCAAGATAATGTTTCACCCACTAAAAATATGCAAGTAAAATTTTAAAATCAAATTAAACGTGATCCTTCACAACCATATCTCTATCAAATAAACATCGAGAAAACAATTCTTCCAAGTTGTAAGGAAAAGAGGCTTCATATTGGCTTCCAAAGCTTAACCAATTACCTTTCTTAAGATTGAAAATATTATTGAAATTTTTCAGCAGTTGAATTTCTACATTGTCACAAGATACTATAATTTATGGAGTCAAAGTGGTAAAAAAATTAAATTGCTTGTGGAGGATACTTGAACTGTAGAATAGTTGGATTGATTTACAGTTGTGTATGTGATTAGTGAGATTTGCTAATTGATCAATTGTCGGACTCATTAATCACTAAAATTAAAATTCACTATGGACAGAGCACAGATAGCTCAGAGTGTATCTTTATGCTTAACAACAACCATACATAATGGCAATATCTTGATTACTTTTATAGTTGGAATAATTGAAAACAGTAATAATTGGAAACACTAATTTTAATTAGTGAATTGTTTTGGTAGGTTGTGACTATTAATTTTGATTAATTGATTATTTTTGTGACATTAAATCGATTTAATCATAATTTAGATTACTGGATAGCTATAATAATCAAAAACAGTAATACACGAAAACACTAATTTTGATTAATTAATTATTTTCATGACAATAATTAATTTAATTGTGATTTCAATTACTGATCAGCTGGAATAATTGAAAGTAGTAATAACTGGAAACTGTAGTTGATTATTTTACGTGACACTAATCCGTGTCATCAATTTTCATGGTTAATCAATTGATTTTTATTGTGAAGCTCCTGTTTGCATATGTATACATTTAGTAAACCTATAGTTGTAGTAATTCTAAGATGAAGTAAGATTTACATTTGTTATTAAAAACAATTAAATTTTTTTATATAATTTATTTTATCGAAATAATGATTTTTCAAGGTTTCAACTGTCTATTGTTGGTGAAAGTTTTCTTGTATATGAACATGTGCAAGTAACTCTATGTTGTTTTTTATAGAGGTGTTTGAATCAGTTTACAGAAGTTCATGTTGTATTGGGTAATGAGTCTGCTGACCTAGACTCGGCTGTAGCCACTCTTGTCACAGCACTGTTTCTTTATCAGGTAAGAGTTACTTTACAAGTATCTTATTGTATCAGATTTGTCTCTCAGGCTTATCTTGTAAGCCTTTTAATCCTGTTTCCATAGCTAATAGTAATTTCTTTATTTCATGGCAAATAAGCTTGAGGAAGGAAAGTATTTTGCGGTTTTTGGTTATGGGAGCCTTTAGTGTGAAAAGTAAAAATAAAAATTTTAAACCATCCTTTACTTTTTAGAAATTCATTGATTCCACCCACAAGCTTTTATAATGTACTGGCTTTCACCATTTTTATTGGCAACTTATTCTGTAACCTAATCACCTTGTTAGAAAATAAAACTGTCTTTACTAGAACCTAGCATCTCATTTCTAAATCGAATAGAGTTGTTTAAACATTTGTTTAGCAACAAGTAAAAGTTTGGAATGGTCTATTCTTTCATTGGGGGTGTGTCTGTGAGCCAGACTAGTTTCGGAGAATTCTACTCCTCATCAGTGACCCTGGACACTACCACCAGTGAAATATCAGACCAAACCAAGCCTTTATAGTAGTGAGGTATCAAAAATCGAAATGGTGTATTTAAGTCTAATAATGGCTGGAGAAGGCTTGAATGGGTAATGAAGAAAAACTTTAATATAACAGCAAATGTACAACGTTTCTACAAGGTTTTGTCATCATCAGGTACAAGTAATTTACACTGAC